CCGTTCCATTTGCATTTTAAAATTGCCCAGCACGCTGAAATATTGAGAAAAAAAAAAAAAAAAACCCACACCACCAGGAATTATTTGAGGAGGGGGAGAGAAAATGAGGTTAATCTGTGCCTCCTGAGATTCCCTGAGGAAGGGAGAAGGGTCAGATGTGCCTCCTGAGATTCCCTGAGGAAGGGAGAAGGGTCGGAGGGAGCCGGGGAGGGATGGTGCCCCACAGCCAGGGCTGTGCTCCGAGCCCGCGCCGCTGAGCGGAGCTGTTGGAAGCGCCGCTGGCGAAGGCAGCCAGGGCTGCAAAAGCAGGTTAAATCCTTCAGAAATGGAGTAAGTGCCCGTCCCTGTGTGCCAGCACCTCGGGGCTGCGGCGGAGGCTCCCCGGCTGCAGCAATTGCAAACTCTGCCCTCCGACTCCTTTTGTCCTTTTTTCTTTATATTTGTTCCTGGAATAAAACAGAGGGTTTCCAAAGGGAAACCCTGTCTGCAGTGTGTGAGCGCAACCGCCTGCGTGTTGGACACTAACAGTGCATATACAAAGATAAAATGCATTTATTGCCATGAGGAATCTGATCTGGGCTCGTTGCAGTAACAGCTCGGGGACCCAAAAACTACTTTATCTCTGAACTAAAGCAGTTGATGTCTCCTGTGCGTGTGCAGTTAAACTATCAGTCTCTGTCTGGTTGAGACAAATATTCCAGGGTCTATCAGCCGGTCCATCCATCAGCTTTAAAAGAGTTTTGTCAAAGCAAAGGACTGAATTTGACTGCACAGCACCCAGAAGACAGGATTCATAAAAGGCGTCTCAACGCCTCATTTCCCAGCTGTCTCCTCTCAGAGACTGATCCTTTTTCGGGGTAATTCTCTTACCACCATCATCGTACACATCCCGGTGTGTTCTGCTTTTTGGGTTGCCTTTTATTGTATTTTTTTAAAGCTGCCCCTGTCCCCTTTGCCAGCCCACACACTGATGTGCTCGCACAGCAGGTTGCTCTGCTATGAAAATCAGAGGCAATAAATATCCCATGTATCAGCTGTTTTGATTTAAAATACTCTCCTGAAATCAGTTCCACTAAAGGCAGTAAATAACATGCAGCCGCCGGGAATTTTTATTGCTCATCCAAACTAGCAATACTTTATTTTGCAATATGTTGAGTGTAGGAAGGGATGCATTTCCATGCCTGTAAGTAATGATACAGTCAATATTGTCATCAACAAAGCTGATATACATCCCTTTCTCCCTCGCTTCCTTGTTTTCCAAGCACAGCATCCTTAAAAAACGCCCTGTGCACCCCGGGATTTTACCTTGCTAATCCACTTTAGACAATCTTGGCTTTTTAGGCAGAACTTTTCTATAAGGAGCTGATTTCAAAGGCTTGAATCAGGCCAGTGTTACCTGTCTCGGGAACATCCTCCAACAGGAATTTGGGGCTGGGTGCTCGGACCTCAATGGGAAAAAGGCTGATGCTGTCTCGTAGCACCTGGCTCTGGCAGAGCTTTCTCTCTCCTGCTTTCCGTGCCCTTCAGAAAAATCCCACCTGGCCAAATCAGATGGGGGTAGGATTAACAGGAAAGACTCCTAGTGGTCCCTGGCTGCACCTGGAAAAAGCAAAGATGAAAAACACTTGGGTCAACATAAGAGGGAGTGAGGCAACCTGTGGGCACTCATCCTGGGCACTGTGGGACCCTCAGCTCAAAGTCCAGGCAGTTTTAATAGATGAGGTCTTCGGGTGACATTTTCCTGCAAGATTTTAAGTAAATGCCTTGCTGTAACATTTGAGATCAGGTGTCTCTCGGTTTTCCCCGATTCTTTTCCTTTTTAAGCCACAGACACACACATACAAAATATATTAAAACGAGCCCAGCTTAGCTGAAAGGTCGGCTCGTTCAGAAACAAACAGCGGGGATTTGGGTCGGAGGCAAGAAGAGAGCGGTGCGTCTCCGGCTCTGCTTTTGCTGGAAGGGGAATATGGATTAACAACTTGCAAGGAGCAGAAGTGAGGGCAAGAAGAGATACTTTTGTCCTTCATTTCATTACCCTGCACCAGGAAAGGGAGGTCACACGTGCCCCAGGCCACGGAGCAGTGAGGGGGGGAGTAAAGGGGGGCTGGATGGTGAGGTGGGAATGGGGTCCACGTCTTCCTTTGGCAGCACGAAACCTTCTCCTGCTCCAAGGCTTTGCAGGGGATCGGGGCTGGACCAGCAGTGGGTGTCCAGCTCTGGAAAAGGGGTGTGAGTACAAAAGGTAGAACCTGCCTGGATAAAATCTTTTATAAAGAGAGGGGACAGGTTGACCTTTCCACCTCAAACCAGAACATCTTGAGAGAGACAAGACTTTCTTTTACATTCCCCTTCACAAGAAGTGACCCGCACTTCTTCTTGGGGAACAGAAAGGCTGCATCCAAGAAGATGAGCTCTTTCCTCAAACCCAGATCGATGAGAAAAAGAACAGGGCAGAGGTATCTGACCCGGAGAGTGAGAACGCTTCACCTCTGGCTGAGACCAACTTGCCAAGGAATTGATGGAATTTATTGAATTAATTACCTCATGAAATTATGCTGCTGGAGCCTTTATTGATGGGAGCACCCAGCCCCTTCGCTGGGCAGTGGGTACTCTCTTAATGGAAGGAGAGATTTGGCTGGTACAAACTGCACCAGGCTGTTAAAAGTGCTGATTGTAAATCAACAGCCACATTGATCTCAGGTCGCTGATATTTCAGTGAGTAAATAGAATTATTTTTTGACTGTATCTCCCGATATTCCCTGCCCGGTGCTTGGCAGGGAGGGAAAGAGGAGGAGGCAGCACATGGAGCTGTGGGACAGAGCAGGGGGATGCAGTGCTCTCCCCGTGAGCAGCTCTGCTCCTGCATCACCTTCTGCAGAAACACAAGGCAACAGGAGCCCAAACCAAGCATTTCTAGAGACAGCTATTGACACAAAGGTGCACATCCACACTGTAGAATTAGACCAGCAGATGGGTGTCTTGTTTGTGGGATAGCAATTGCTTCCCACAAGGCCAAAATGAAATTCCAGGAGCAGGAAGGGACAACAACTCTTCATTAAGGATCCCAAAGGAACTCACTTGCTGCCTCTGTGGGAGAAGTACTTCACTCCAGGAGTGTGGGTCTGTGCTTGGACCACGGGGCCATAAATTCCCCCCAACTTGGGGGCTGAGGAACAGGGACACCAGGAGAAGGTTTATATCCAGCTGCTGCTCTCCTTCAGTAAGTACAACTCACCCCTTGTTCCACATTCCTCTTCCCTTCTTCAGAATAAATATTCTTGATCCATCCCAAGAACCCATCCAAGGAGCAGGAACCATGGGTGAGGCCAGGCTGGAAACACCAACCCCAATGAACTCTTCTGGGCTAATATAAATTTCCTAACAGAAGCTTTTAAATGGAAGGAACATTGGTGTTAAAAGATTATTAGTCATTCTTTGAACTAGTGTGGGCTGAGTGCCGGAAAACGTTTCTCTCCAAATTCATATGAATAATATGACTAAATAGATCTGATTTTGGTTCGTCTTCCATGGTGATCCTATCAGGTGGATTTAAGAGGAGGAAAGTTTTGGGAAATATCGACCCTTGGCGAATGGCTGTGGAAATTCCACTGTTTGCATGCAGAGACTACCTGATTGACTGCAGGATCAGACATCTTCCTGCATCAAATAACAGGCAAGCAGTCTGCAGGATCTCAGTATAGACAGAGCCAGTCTTGGGAAAGGGTACCCAACACCTGCTAATGAATAAATGAGATGTATGACACCCATCTTTGGGTAAATCAGTGATTCCCTGAGTTGGATTTTCCTAGATCTGGGATTTTCCTAGATTTTCTCTATGCATTTGTAAAGCAGTGTATCATGAGGACAACTGAGACAAAGAGCCCACTGGAGCTTCACAGGGCAGCTCAGCTCCCCGGGGCTGAGAGGGCAACCCCACCACAGACTAACAATCCTTGGAGGGGCCCTTTCATCTGGGTGACCCCCTTGTCACCCACAGCATCACCGTGGCACCCCCACAGCCCCTGCAAGAGAGAGACCCCCACATCCCCAAATCTCAGGCTACGTGGGTAAGAGAAAAGTCACCGATGGGGACCGAAGCAGAGCAGGTCACTGCTGTCACTGCTGTGCCATGGTGCTGGGGGGTGTCCCAGGCAGACCAGGGTGCAGTAGATATTTTTAGGTGGTTTTTCCCCCCCTTTAAATGCATTTCTTCTGGCAGCAGCAGGCGGGTGGCTATTTGGGGACCAGCAGGACACATGGATGTCCAAGGATGATGGAGCATCCCTGGTGGCTCTCCTCTCCCCAGGGCTGTCCTCGGACCCCCTGGACCCTCTCCCAGCCCCCTCCCAGCCATGTCTTTGTGTCTGTCTCTGCAAGGGATGGAGAAGTCGGGGGGGGGGGTCCCAAGTGGGAGGTGGGGGCTGCAGCCCAGCCCGGGCCGTGCTCCCTCCCTCCACACCCCCCCCGGCTCCGGTTTGGCGACCGAGCTGGGGTTGCAGTAGCCACCTGGGTGGTGGGGAGTGGGGAGAAGGGCTGAGCCGAGCCCCCCCCCCCCCCCCCCCTCCTTCTTCCCTACCGCGGTGCGGTGTCTGCCGGCGCGGTGGTGCGAGGCGGGGTGTGTGTGTGTG